ACTTATCATTTTAACAATTTTCAAATTTGAAGCAATATTATTGACTATTGTCCTTCTAATATATATAATATCTCCATGACTTAGTTTATTCATTTATTTATTTATTTTTAATGTATCACCATGAGGTACAGTTACAGACTTACAAACTTTCGTGCTTATGTTTCAGTCATACAATGATCAAGTACCCATCTCTTCACCAGTGCCCATTCTCTACCACCAATGTTCCCAGTATCCCTCCCATTACCCCTACCATCCCTGCTTCTGTGGCAGGCACATTCCCTTTTACTCTCTCTCTCTCCTTTTGGGTGTTGTGGTTTGCAATGCAGGTATTAAGTGGCCATCATGTTTGGTCTATAGTCTACTTTCAGCATGCATCTCCCATCCCGAGCGGGCTCTCCCAGCATCCTTTACTTAGTGATCCCTTCTCTATCTCAACTGCCTTTTCCCCCAGCAAGTGAGGCTGGCTTCCAAGCTGTGGAGCAATCCTCCTGGTTCTTATCTCTACTATCCTTGGCTATTAGTCTCCCATTCTGTTACTTTATATTCCACAAATGAGCCCTTCTATTTCTGTCCCTCTCTTTCTGACTCATTTCACTTAACATGATACTCTCAATGTTGATCCACTTAAATGCAAATTCCATGACTTCATCTTTTCTAAGAGCTGCATAGTATTCCATTGTGTAGAAACTACAAGTTTCTTTAACCAGTCATCTGTTCTCTGGCACTTGGAGTTTTCCAGATTCCGGCTATTGTAAATAGTGCTGCAATAAACATACAAATGCAGATGTCATTTCTACTATACTTTTTTGCATCTCTGGGATATATTCCCAGGAGTGGTATTGCTGGATCAAATGGGAGCTCAATTTCTAATTTTTTGAGAAACGTCCATACTGTTTTTTAAAAGGGCTGAACCAGCATGACTTAGTTTTATAACTGAAAGTTTGTGCCTCTTCATCTATTTCACGTCCTCCCATGGAGTTTTCTTAACTATATTGTGATTGTTCCTCAACCAAAACATTTATGGGTTTTTGGAATAAGTGGACTAGGTAATAGAATTTTAGCATAGGCACATAAGTTTGGAAATTTGGCAATGCCACACAAGCTGCTTAGCTATTAGCGATATAATAGGCAGCATGTGATGAGCACCCATTAGACATGTGCCTGCCAAGGAGGATGGATAGGATCTCCATTTTAACATTGTTGAGCAGGAAATCTCTTGGCAAAAAGAAGCAACTTACTACTTCTAGAATCTAAGGAGAGAAGCCCTCACTGAAGCTAGTTATTAAGCAAACCACACCCCCCAATCTCCTGTTCAGTATAGTCAGAGGAAAAAAATAAAATTCTTAGTGAATATTCACAACCTTTAAGTATCCCCTAATATTAGATTGAATCCTTAAATTTTTTTTCTTGTTTCTGTGTCATACCTGACTGTGTTCATACATGACAGATTTGCTTCTGCCCCTGTGCTCACAGATGGGCTCCAGGTGACTATACAGGGTGAGGGGACCATATAGGGTACAGGGGATAGAACCTGGTTTGACTGCATGTAAGGCTAGGTCCTTGTCTGTTGTACTGTCTCTCTAGGTCCTAGTTTGAACCCCTTATAAGAAAATTAAGTACACATAGGAATGATTTGCAATAGTTCCATGAAGAAAAAAAAAACAAAAATTAGACTGAATATGTGCTAACCAAAACAGTTTATCCAAAGTAATAGCTTACATTCCACAGTTCTCAAGATTATTATAAGTAAATATATAAATACATAGCTGGCGGACCTGAAGCTGTGTATAATAAGTACTTAATGAGTGAAGGATTGGCTGTTCTCTAGTTCTAATCGTGAAGTAGTCAAACCAGATAATCTGGTTAGAGAACACCTTATGGTACCAGGATTAGAATTCTTTCAGTGAACATTTAAGTCTAACTGTGCTAAATTTTTAGAGATTAATTGATAACTTTTGACTCCAGAGTTTTACAATATAATGTTTATCTGGTTTTTACTACCGAAAAGGCTCAAATGACACAAATAACTGCTAAACATACATTTCACATAAACATAAACATACATTTCAGTTTGCTGTATAGAGTTACTGTCTTTGAACCTTCATGAACACTCAGGATAAAACAGAGTTTGATTGCATGAGGAAGAGAGCTTGGTGGATGGAACCTAGGTTGCATACACAGTCTTGAATTTCATTCTTGCCCCCCAGATATTGCCACATGTAACCCTGGATCCTCTGACCACTGCTTGGGAGAAGTCACCCCCCAAAACTCAACCTATAATTATATTCCATATAATACAATACACATAAAATTTGTATTAAATGGAATGTAATTATAAGTTATAACTGTAAAATATAAATATATATTTTTAAAAGTTTAAAACTTCCTGGGAAAAGAAAATACCCATTACAAAGATCATTCAAGGGGATCCAACTGGTTCTTTCTATCATATTTTATGGTGACTTAAGTCACAAATTCTGGAACCATACTTAGTTCAAATTCCAACTCTACTGCTTTCAAAATCCATTTGGCTTTGTATAAATTGCTTAGTGTCTTTGCTCTATAATTTCCACATTTGAAATAACAACCACCTCATAGTTTGGGGAAACTTAAAAACGTCAATCCTGTATTGTTACAGTAAGTCTTCAAGTAGATTGAAAAATATATTCACTGCTCAGAGGGCCCAGTAACATTGTGAAACTTGTTACTGTGTTTGGCATATCGAATACTTCACGGGTAGCTTGCCAGGCTTTGCCAGGCGGGCGAGATACTCTTGGTAGCTTGCCGGGCTCTCTGAGAGGGGCGCAAGAATCGAACTTGGCCCGGCCAGTTCAGCAGCATGCAAGGCAAACGCCCTACCTGCTGTGCTATCGCTCCAGCCCTCATTTATTCAGTAGGAGAAATTAATAGTTTTTGCTGATGATAGTGTCTATAAGCTAATAAACGTCATGCTGGTCTATCAGTTAGCAGAGAATTCAACACTGATGAGACCCAGAAAAGGGCAGTTTTTCCTCCACGAATGCCAGTCAATATTTACATTGCCAGTAGCCATGATGCTTTTTTTCCATTCAAATAAAACTAAATTTGATGAGGTCACTGAATAAAAGTGAGTTTACCAGAGGTTCCCAAACTCAGTTGGCTTACTGCCTCTCTTTTAGGGGAGTGAGGGGGGGAAGGACTCAGCAAACTCCTGGAAATAAAGAGAAAGTGTTCCCCAACTACATGAGAGGTGACAACCACCTCCCTGTTTCAGGTCTGTTACCTTGGGAGCCAGAATCTCCTACTTTGGAAATCACTGCTTCAGATTTTTCTAGATTACAGCACTCAATGTTAGTTCTAGCCATTTATACCTTCCAATAAGTGCATAAAATACTCCCCCCCCTCTTTCAATCAGTTTTTAAGAAAAGAAATGTCTTAAGCAATGAGAAGAGGTGAGGCAAAAACAATCACCGCAGGCTAAGTAATATTACATCTTATTATTGTTCTAAATAAGGAAACTGGAAATACTGGGCCAATCTCTGCAAGAAAGAGAATGTCTGTTAGAAGGATTTGCTTCTGGTTACATCCTACAGATAATAATAAGAATTTTCAAGGTTATCTTTTCTTCTAGTCTTTATTATTGAGGAGTAATGAAAAGTTTATAGTACAGTGATACCTGGTATCTGTGTCTTCAAACAATTGTAACTTTTTCAAGGAGAAGTATAATTCATGCATTACAACCTAGACTTTTGACATTAAGATTTGGAGCTTTTGACCAAGATTTATGACTTTGAACAAAAGATGTAAGATCTATTGCTGAGCCTCGCCAGTGGCTGCTAGCCAGAACTGAGTATTTATAGCTTCACATTAAAGAATGGCCCAGAAGCTAGATGATTTCTAAAAGAAAAGTAGCATCCAGCTGATACAACCTTAAAGACAGGTAACTACAATCCCGAAGCATTGCCACCTTGACAAAAGATCACGTTTTAAAAGCAGGAGTCATCATTTATTCTAAGACAGAATTACTTATCTTCCAAAGAAATTCACACCCAATTATTTGCAGTCTGCTTTTTGTAAGTGTCCTTGGAACTGATTTGCCTAGAGAGCTGGGGGTAACATAAATGATAAAAAAAATATGCTAAACAAAGTGATAATACCTTTTGCTCGAGCTCGAGCGGGCCCAGTAACGTCTCCATTGGAGACTTTGTTGTTACTGTGTGACTTTGTTGTTACTGTGTCGATATGCCAGACACAGTAACAACAAAGTCTCCAGTGGAGACGTTACTGGGCCTGCTCGAGCAAATCGACGATCAACGATAATACCTTATCCCAGAATAAACACACCAACGATGGTGCATGGGAAAATGACGTATCATGACAGTGTAAACTCGTCGGAGCCTTTAGACTCTCAGTCCTTTCAAACACCAATAAAAGTTATTTTCAAGATGTGGCAAAACCCCATTTGCTCTTCATCCAACATCATTTAAGGATGTCAAAAGTCTCAGCATAATAATAGTATCTTTGACTTGGCGTCTCCAGCACAAGCACATATGGCAGACTGCTTCCCAGAATGAGCCTGGGACACTCTGCAGCCTCCTGTCCCTCTGAAAGTCGGTCAGAACCCAAGAGGCCAGGACTCAGGCAGGGAAGCCGCGGGGACAGAGCCAAAGCAGACTGCGGCTTCAGGTGAGACATCGGCTGGTCTGCAGTGGTCACGGGGCACAGACTGATTCCTTCCACCCCCGCCCCCAATTACAGCAGAGAGGAGGACGCAGGGAGACTGTGAACTCGCAGAGCCTGCCTGCTGGCAACTAGGTGCCAGCCGCAGGGATTGAGACGCATCTAGGTACCCTCTGGAGCGCAGAAACTGGCTCTGCAGCAATGCTACACACATACACACACACTGGCTCTGTAGCAATGTTACAGAGGCACACGGCGCACACACACAGACACACACACACAGACACACACACTCGCACAAATGCGCGCGAGCAAACCTGCTAGAAAAACCTCTCCCCTACCTTATACTTCATCTCGGCGGCAGCGGTCAGTGGCCTCTTCTGCTGCGCTACTGGGTCTGCAGTGAGCACCGACGTGGCCGCCCCTCCATGGAGCACTGCGCGGACCCGGAGAGAGAACGGCGGGTCCAGCGTCCCGGAGCTCCGCAGCGGCTCGGAGCTGGCTGTTTTGATCCCCGTAGCTCACTTGGCTTATTTACATACCGCCCAGCTATTGGCTAAGGGGCCAAGGTAATCCACGGTTGCCCCGCCCACCCCCAGCTTTCGTAAACTGACAAAGAACTTGCAACGTGATCATTTCTTTTACGTTATCAGAAGGGGTGGGAAATAAAACAAAGGCGCGGGAGAGATCGACGGCCCAGAAGCTCACTCCGTCCACCAGAACTAAGCCGAAAAGGCGAGAATTCATTCTTTGAGAGAGTCATCAAATTCAAAAATGTTGATAGCAATTTAATACTATCCCTCTACATATTATTCTAGGAGTATTTCATCAGTAATTTTTTTTTTCTTTTTGGAGTCATCTAAATTTTAAGGAGATCTAATTCACCAAGCTGACTGATTTGGCGCTTCCTGTGACCTAGCAACTCCTTCATAAACCCATTTCATTTCAAAGTCATTCACCTCTCAGTCATGAAAGGAACTCGGGGAAACAAAAGGTTTTCTGTCTCCAGGCACCCCCCCCCACCCCCTTTTTTTTTTTAACCAACTGCCCCTGCAGAGGCCTTTCTTTCTCTCCCTTCTCTTCCCCCACCCCTCCCCTTTTTGTGTGACTGTTTGCTTTTTTTTTCTCTCCCCCTCCCCCTCTTTTCTTTTCAATGTTCAAAGTACTTGCAAGGTCAGTCTGCCAGGAACCAGAATACAATTCACCCTTAGTGAGAACTCCAATGCGCCAATGCTCGGGCACTTGGGTTCCGCTGGCTGGCTGAGCCCTCACCCTTCTCGAGCTTTGCCAGGACATAGATTTTCCTGCACACGTCTCAAATAGGCCTGGTCAGTGCACATCCTGCACATCAGAGATGTGCAGTATTGGGGTGGTAGCATCCCTCTTATTGGTTCTAGCTTTGAGCGGTCATAGTTTTTGTTGCTGGCCCCTCTCTCTGAAGATGACCCATTAACCCATCAACACTTATTATCCAGAGGAACAAAAAAATGTGGCCACTGTTTGATGAATCTGATTTAAAAGGCCAGTCTCTCTTCAGTGGCACACACCCTTAGGCTCAGAGTCATGATTGAGAGAGAGAGAGAGAGAGAGAGAGAGAGAGAGAGAGAGAGAGAGAGAAAACGATTAACCAGGAGCTGGCTGAACTGGCAACTCTTCTCAAGGATTGATTGGTGAGAAAAAAAAATTCTTCATCCCTGGAACTCAGAATTGAGACTTGATGAATGTTGGCAATTTCTGTCCCTGGGTAGTGCAACCAGTCTTCGCAACTTGTACAGAAAAATCAGCCTTTGATATTTTTTTCTGATGGAGTTGCATCTGAATCAGTTTCATTGCCTCCTCCCAGTCCCTGATTCTCAAAGGTTTAAAACTACTTTTGTGATCTAAGCATAAATAGCACGCGGCAATTTACAGAGTGTTCCCCAGATAGAGATTTGTTTCGCTTCATGGCACTGGTTCCTTGACATGTGACCAAGTAGTCAAAGCTAGGTTAAGACACTCGTTCAGGCCTCCACTTGGCCTTGCTTTTTCTCATTTAGTCATAGAGTGAAAATGACCCCAAGTGTTTTTACAAGGTCTTTCTAGACACAAATTAAGCAGGCAGCATAGTGTACTGCCAGAATATTCCGAACAGTCCCACAGACTTTAGGAGAGTTATTAGTTGATAGGAAATTGTTTATGGTGTCAGTCTGGGTAAGTGAAGGGCCTTCCTTTTGTAGGTAAGTCTCATAGCTCAGGAGGTCTCAGTAACATCCCTTAGGCTGCCTATGCCTGAAAGCTAAATCCACCTGTGTTGCTTGAGTGCCGTTGATCATTGAGTAGCTCAACACTATTCCACCCCATTTTAATTCTTTCAGGTTCCCAAAATTATGCTAGTGTTGATGTTATTTCATTCACTAGCTAGAAAACTCAGTTCACACCAAGATAATCTCTTTGCTTTCCTGTTTCTGTTCTGTACATGAAGATACTTTAAATCTACCTGAAGTTGGAAAGTATTTGAATCAATGAGACTTATAGAATCTCTCTCTCTCTCTCTCTCTCTCTCTCTCTTTCTCTCTCTCTCTGGTACCAAGGCCTCACATATGCAAGGCAGCTGCTCAACAACTGAGCTTTATCCCCACCCTGTTTGAGTCTGTTAGAATCTCAATAGATTTCTTAAGTTTTTAGTTAAGTATTCTGAAGTATAAATAAAGAAAATAATAATAGCTGCTGCTAAGGTTACCATGAAGATTAAGTTAGAAAATACAGGTACATGTTAATGACAGTACTTGGCAAGTAATAAGAACTTAAATGGTTCCTGCTTATTATTATCACCATTAATATGACTATTTATTATATATTATTTTATAGTTGTATCAAGTAGCATTTGCTATTACAATGATTTTCCAGTTTTCCCTGATCACCGGCACAAGTACAGTGAAAAACTCAGGATTGTTAGAGAAAGGGTCATCAATCCACAACCTGGAATAACACCAGGTGACTACCTTCTAGGAGTTATGGGCAGGATGAGAATGTATGAAGTCAGGAAACACCTAAAAAATCACCTAGTGCTATCCCTCAGAAAGGAGGGAACTGTTTGAATTGTGCTTCTGGAATTGGGAGAATAATACAATACACAGATTGAATCATATCAAAGTTACTGTGTTAGTTTATCACTCTGCAGCCCTTGTAACATCTATTCTAGTCACTCTTATTAGTTTCCCTGCCTGAAATAGCTCCATGTCCTCATCTATATTCCACAACCTGCCTATGAAGTTTCTAGAGTAGAGTCCATCACATTATTGTCATGCTTTAAAAATCTCTAGAGATAACTTCTTTGCCTTAATAAATAAAATCTGAACACTGACATGGTCTATACTTGGAGCTCGCCTTTTTTTCCTGGTTACATTTCCCACCATCCCCCAAATCCACAGTATCTGCTGTAAGAGACTCACCTATTCAAGACTCTCTCTATCTTCCTGACTTAGCATGGATGGGTCCCTCTGTGGAGGATGCTGGCTTTTCACTCTGGCTTTCAAATCAAGACTCAATACCAACTCTGTTATGCATCCTTGTCAACAACTCTCATGCTTCCCACCTTGCCCTTTCAGAACTAATTTCTCCCTCCCATGACAATGAATCATTGTATTTAGATACAGACCCATTATTAGTTTTTTTTCCTATATGGTATCAAAATGCTTTGTTATTGTCTATTTCTCTCAGAGGAAAGCTCCAGAGAGAGGGGCTATATCTTGTTCCTCTCTATATAAATTAATAGCTTATGTGTGTTTAAATGTTGGATAAACAAACAGATAAAGTTCTATAAAGATTTTGCCCAAAGCCCAGAAAAGTGTCCAAAAAACCCAAAACCAAAACTTGTGCTAGAGGGAAGCAGTGGGGTTTACATCTATTAGAACAGGAACTTGGATGCGCCATTTCAGAACTAGCTCGAGGCCTATTGATAATTCTGGCTCTTGGCCTCAAAACTATAGTTAGTGGGCCACCTGTTTTTTGAGCTAAGAATATATTTTAGCTTTTAATGACTTGAGGAGGGGGTCGGGGTGGAGGGAGGGAATCGATAGAAGAAAAATATTTCATGAGATGTGATAATATGTGAAATTTCAATTTCTGTAAATAACTTTTCTTGCAACAGAGATGCATCTAATTGGTTGTACTTTGTGTTACAATGGAAGACTCAAGGGGTGGTGACAAAAATAGTAGAGGCTGCATCATAAAAAGAGAAAGAAAGACATATTACATGGCACTCCACGAAAAAATTTTGATGACAGTTGTTCTAGAATCACTGTCACTGTCCTCTCGTTGTTCATCGATTTGCTCGAGTGGGCCCAGTAATGTCTCCATTGTGACAATTGTTAATGTGTTTGGCATATTGAATATGTCACGGGTAGCTTGCCAGGCTGGCGAGATACTCTCAGTAGCTTGTTGGGCTCTCCAAGAGGGGCGGAGGACTAGAACTCGGGTCGGCCGCTTGCAAGGCAAACACCCTACCCACTGTGCTATCGCTCCAGCCCGTTCTAGAATAGCATAAGATATATCTATCTTTGATTTTAGATTGTAGTCCCTTCTACATCCTCAGGGAAACTATCTAGAAATATAAAATGCCCATTCTAGGACTAGGAGTGGTCTACCTAGCAGTGCTCAGGGTTTACTCTTAGCTCTGGGCTTAGGGGTCACTCCTTGTGATGCTCAGGGAACCATATGTGGTGCTAGTGATCACAATGGGGTTGGCTACATGCAAGACAAACTCTTTAACTCCTGTACTCTCTCTCCAGTTCAGTTACCAGTTTTTAAAAATTCTACATATTCTTGGGGGAGGGAGAGACTGGTGTAGTGTTGGAATTATGTTAATGAGAAACCACTATTAATAGTATTCCATACTGCTGAATCTCAATTAAAAACCAAAATGAGGGACTGGAGTGATAGCACAGCGGGTGTAGGGCATTTGCCTTGCACACGGCTGATCCAGGTTCAATTCCCAGCATCCCATATGGTCCCCCGAGCACTTCCAGGAGTAATTCCTGAGTGCATGAGCCAGGAGTATAACCCCTGTGCATCGCCGGCTGTGACCCAAAAGGAATAAATAAAACAAACACTAAAATGAATAAAAAGTAAAAATATATACATACATAAAGCTACTTTATAAAAATTGGAGATAGCAGCTCTACAATTTTATGAGTCCTCAGAAACATTGCAAAAGATAAATTAGTCACTATGTTTTCTCCTTCAGTCTGACACTGGATTCATTCAACCTTGATGGAAACACTTTCACATGTGAGATAGTCAAAAACAGCATTTTATTTAATAGTCATCTAACGTAACAACCCAGTGAGAATTCTGACTTCTACCTGTTAGGTAACTGAGAAGAGGTTCTGAGACTTATACAAAGTTCTAGGCTAGTGATGGTAGGTTTGGTATATGAACCCAGGTTTCGCCTGTGTATTCCAAACACTGTGCTAATACTGTCTCCCACCACAGTTT